AAAAAAAAAAAAAAAAAAAGAGAATTTGTTACGAGAGGAAAAAAAAGAGAGCAAAAAAAAAAAAAGTTTTATTTTTGTTTTTTTGTTTTGTGTGAGTAGCGTAAAAAAAAATAATAATAATAAAAAAATAAATAAATAAATAAATAAATAAATGGCGAGTACGCATAAAGAGAGAATCGAGGCATTGGAGAGCGGATTGTATCCCATGATCGAAGATGTGCAATCTTTGAAAGCCGACATGAAGGCCGTGCAAGATGCTCAACACGCCACATACAATCAACTGGCGAAGCTCGAGCAATCACTATCCGGGTCAATTCAATCCTTAACCGCCGAATTTGCAAAGCTTCGACGGCGTGGTCGAAGGCCATCAAGAGAGCCGACACCAGGGTCATCATCGGAGGAGTCCGCACCTTCGGAGGACGAGGACAGCGCGCACGAAGAAGAGATGGACCGCCGGTCGCAGGGGTCTAGGGGTTCACGGCGCCACAAGGAACGGAGGATCGAAAAACCGAAGATTGTTCTTCCCACATTCAAGGGAGAGGATCCAGACGCATGGCTAAGTCGAGCTACTCAATATTTCGACCTCAACGAGACTCCCAAGGCTGAACGTGTTAAGCACGCCGCATATTATCTCGATGGAGAGGCGAATACATGGTGGCAATGGATGTCGCACGCGAACAAAGGCAAACGATTGAAGTGGAGGGAGTTCGAAAAGGGGTTGATCAAGAGGTTTGGTTCGTCCCAATATTATGATTTTGATGAGGCCTTGACGCGAATTAGGCAAACGGGTAGCCTAAGGGACTATCAAAGGGAGTTCGAACGCCTAGCATGTCATGTACGCGATTGGCCGGAGCGAGCGCTCATAGGCGCGTTTATTGGAGGCCTTAAGCCAGAACTTGCTGCTGAGGTTAGGCTCGAGAAGTCAAGGAGCTTACAGGAAACCATGGAAGCCGCGCGCTTACACGACGACCACTTGACTGCAGTGCGAAAGATGGGCCGATCAAACACGCGTGAGGGCGACACACGAGCAGAGGTACGCACGGAACCAACGCGCACGGAGCCGCAGACATACGTGGAGAACACGTCCAAGGTTGGAAGTTCAACAAATGGTCGCGAAAAGA